CCCTCTTCCCCTGGGTTTCCTCCCCTTTGGTGCCCCTTTTGTTGGGGCAAACTTTTGGGGACCCTTTTTCCCCCCTTCTGTAACCGGGGCAAACTCCCCCCGGGGCCCCCCTTTTTGGGGGGGCCCGGAGGGGACCTCCTTTCCCCGGGGGCCCCTCCCCCCGGGGCCGTTAAAGGGTGTGCCCCTCCGGGATGTTTTTTGTGTTGCCCCTTTAAAAGTTTTTCCCCCCCCGGGGGTTCCCTTTTTTTGTGGGCCTGTAGGTTTTATTTCCCCCCCCCCCCTTTTTTTTTCCCCCTTGCTTACCCTTTGGTTTTACCCAGGGTTTCCCTGGCTGGCGGGGGCTTTTAAAGTTATTTCCGACCGCCTCCCCTTGTTTGTACCCTTTTTAGACCTCAAAATGCTATTTTTGTTGTTGACCTTTAAAATTTGTCCTTTCCCCCCCAAACCCTTTATTTCCCTGACCCATGTCCCCCCGGGGGAAAAGGGATTTAAAGAACCCCTATTTAATTCTTTTAAAAAAACAAGTAAGGGGCCACCCCGTTTTTAAGCCCCAATTCTTGGTAAAGAAAATGGAAATTGCAAGTCCCCTTTTTTGGCCTAAAAAATTTTGACCTGTTGAGGGGTGGGAAATTTTGAACCGTAATTTTTTAAAAATTTTCCCTATTTACTTCTTTACTTTCGGGTCCATGTGTTCCGGATAAAAGAATTTAACAAGACCATGGGGGGGGAGGTTGAAACTTTTTTTTTAAGAACATGAAGAGAGGGAAAAAAGAGAGATTTTCCACCAATTAATTTTCATTTTCCCCACCCCTCATACAGAGTGACATTTCAAAGGGCAGTCACCCTCTTTCATTTTTTTAGAGTCCTTGGGGTTTTTTTTTTTTTTTACATTTTCCCCAAACCAATTTAATTCCATATTCCTTTTCCAAGACCAGTTTGTGGGGGCTTGTTTTTGTTTACCTGTTTGACAAAAGCTGTTGAGGGGCCCCACCCAAAATCTTTTTTTCCTGGGTTTTGCTTATTTCCCCCCAGATGGCCATTAGGGACTGTTTTTTTGGCCTTTTCCCCAAAATGTTTTTTTGGGGGGAAAAAAAAATTTGGTTAAGAAAAAAAAACAAAAGAAAAAAACCAAAAAAAAAAAAAATTTGTTTTCAAATTTTAAAAATTTTTTTTTCCCCTTTTTTCCCCTTTTTGGGGAAAAAGGAGCTGGGGAAAAACCCGGGGGTTAAGGGGGGGTTAAAAAACCCAAAAGTCCTTCCCGCGGGAAACCCCTTTTGGGGGTTTTGAGTTTTTGGTTTTTAGTGGTGGGGTGGGCTTGTGCCTTTTGGGACGTTTACCTTTACCCCCCTTTTTCCTCTTCTGCGCTCTGAAACCCTTCAACGCTCCGCTCCTCCCGACCTAAACCTGAAAAAATTTTTTTTGGGGGGGGGGGGGGGGGGGGGGGGGCCCCCCCCCCCCCCGGGGGGGGGGGGGGGGTTTTGGGGGGGGGGAAACTTTGGGGGGGGGTTTTCCCTTCCCCCCCTTTTCCCCCTCCCCCCTTTTCTTTCTCTTCCCCCCCGGCCCTTTTATTATTGAACCCCCTTTTTTAGGGGCTTCTTTTTAAAAAAAAACTTTCCCCCCCCCCCCCAAAAAAATACTTTTCCCCAAAAATTTTTTTTTTTTTTCCCCTTCATTTGGGGGAAAAAAATTGGGGGGGCCCCCCCTTTATTTTTGGCCCCGGGGGTTTTTTCCCCCAAAGCCCTTTTTTAAAAAAATTTTCCCCCCAAACCCCCCCGGGGGAAGGGTTTTCCCCGGGGGGGTGGGGGGGGAAAGAAATTTTGGGGGGCCTGTTCTTTTTTCCAAAAAAAGCGGGCCAAATTAAAAAAACCCCCCCTTTTCCCCCTTTTTTCCCCCTTTTTTTTTCCCTTTTTTTCCTTTCCCCCTTTATTTTTCGGGTCCCTTTTCCCCCCCTGACCCCCCCCTTTAAACCCCTTCCCCCAAAAAAAGGGGAATGGGATGGAAAAACGGGGGCTGGGGGAAAAAAAAAAAACCCCCGGGGGAAAAAAAAGGGGGCCCCCCCCAAATTTTTTAAAAAAGCCCTTCCCTTTCCCCTTTTCTCTTTCTTCTTTTCCTTTCTTCCCCCTTTTCTCCCCCCCCTTTCCCCCCCCCTCCCCTTTTTTTTTCCCTTTACCTCCGGGCCCCCTTTCCCCTTTCCCCCTACCCCCCCTTCCCCCCCCCCCCCCCCCCCCCCAAAAACCACCCAAAAAAAAAAAAAAAACCCAAAAACAAAAACCAAACCCCAAAAACCAACCCCAAACAACAAAAACCCAAACCAAAAAAATACCAAAAAAGGGGAAAAAATTTTGGGATTTTAAAATTTTGGGTTTTTTTTGGGTTTAAAAACCCCCTAGAAGGAGAACCCGCCCCCCAAACCAAACACCCCCTTTTTGGGCTGGGGTTTTTTTTCCCCGTGAAAATTTTTTCCAAAATTTTTTTTAGTTTTTTGTGTTTTCCCAAGGTTTTTTAAAAAAAAAAAAAATTTTTAAAAGCTTTCCCCCCCAAAAAACCCCCAAAAAAAGGAAGTAACCCCCAGGAATTTGGGGCCCAAAAAACAAATGCTAAACTGCCCAAAAAAGGAAAATTTTTTTAGGGGGGGGAATTAAAATTTTGTTTTAAAAAATTTTTTTTTTTTCCCCCCAAAATTTTTTCCTTTTTTTCCGGTTTTTTTTTTTTTGTATTTTAAAAAATCAATTTTTTGTTTTGGGAAAAACTTTTTTCTTTTTTCCTTTTTCCACCCCTTTTTTTTTTTTTGGGGGCCCCCGGGGGTGAAAGGGGGGGAAAAAAACCCCCCCCAAAATTTTTTTTAAAAACTCTATTTCTTTGGGGGATTTTTCCCTCCCCCTTTTTTTTTGGGTTTGGGGGGAAAAATTTTTTTCCCCGGGGGAAAAAAAAGGGGGTTTTTTTACGGGAAAACCCGTTTTTTGGGTTTTGGGGGTTTTTTTTTCCCCCCTGGAAAAAGGGCCCCCCTTTAAAAAGGGGACCCCCGATTCTTTGGGTTTTCTTTTTCGGGTTTTGGGGGAAACCTTTGTTTCCCCCTTTTGGGGGGAAAACCCCCCCCCTTTTTACCCTTTTTTTCCCTTTTTTTTGGGGGTAAAAAAGGCCTTGGGTTCCCCGGAAAAAAATGTTTTTCCCCTTTTCCCCCCAAATTAAACCTCCCAAATTGGGGGGGCTTTGTTTTTTTGGGGGGGGCCCGGGTTTTTTTTTTTTTCCCCAGCCTTTTTTTTTTGGGGAAAAACCCGCAGAAAACCCAAAAATAAAAAAAAAAAACAAAAAAACCCAAAAAAACCCCCCCAACCCAAAAAAAAAAAACAAAAAACCCAAAAAAAAATTTTTTTTAAAAAAAAAAAAAAAAAATTTAAAAAAAAAATTTTTTAAAAAACCCCAATATGGGGCTTCAAAAAACCCCCCAAAAAAGGATTTTTCCCCCCAAACCCCCCAAAAAAAAAAAACCCCCCCCCCAACAATGGGCAAAAAAGGGCCTTTGGGGGGGGGGAGGCCCCCAAAAGGAAAACAAAAAACAACAAAGGGGGGTTTTTTTTTTTGGGGAAAAAAAAAAGGGGAAACCCCTCCCGGGCCCCAAAAAAGGGAAGAGGGGAAAGGGGGGGGAAAGGGGAGGAAAAGGGGGGGGAAAAAAAAAAGGGAAAAGAAGGGAAAAAATTTTTCCCCGGGGGGGGGAAACCCAAAAAAGAGAGAAAAGGGGGAAAAAAAGGGGGGGGGGGGGAAAAAAAAAAAGGGGGAAAAAGGGAACCCCCAAAAAGGGGAAAAAAAAGGAAAACAAAAGACCCCAGAAAAAAGAAAGAAAAAAACCCCCCAAAAAAACGAAAAAAAAAAAAGGGGGGGGGCCCAAAAAAGGGGGGAAAAAAAAAAAAAAGGGGGGAAAAAAAAGGGGGGGGGGGGGAGAAGGAAGGGGCCCCCAAAAAAAACCCAAAGAAAGGGGGGAAAAGGAAAGGGGGGGGGGGGGGGAAGGGCCCGGGGTCCGGGTTTGGGGGGCGAGAAAACCCGGGGGGGGGTTTTTAAAACCCGGGGGGGGGGGGGCTAAGAAAAATTTTCCGGGGGGAAAAAAAAAGGGGGAGGTTTTGGGGGGGAAAAAAAAAATTTTTTTTTAAAAAATAAAAGGGGGGGGGGGGAAAAAGGGAAAAACCCAAGGGGGGGGAAAAACCCCTAAGGGGGGGGGGGAAAAAAAAAAGGGGAACCCTAAAAAGGGGGGGGGGGGGGGGGGGGGGGGTTTTTAAAAATTTTACCCAAAAACAACCCAAGTTAAAAAACCCCCCCAAAAACCCCCCCAAAAAAGGAGTTTAAAGAGAAAAAAAAAGAAAAAAGGGGGGGAAAAAAAAGGGGGAAAAAAACCGGGGAAAAAAAAAAGGGGGAAAGGAAAAAAGGGGGGAAAGAGAGGAGGGAAAAGGAAAAAAGAAGGGGAAGAGGAGGGGTTTTTTTTTTAAAAAAGAAAAAAAGGGGGCCCCCCCCCGGGGGAAGGGGGGGGGAAAAAAGGGGGGGGGCCCCCCCCCCCCCCCCCCCCCCCCCCCCCCAAAAATTTTTTTTTTTGGGGGGCCCCCCCCCCCCTTTTTTTTTTTTTTTTTTTTTTTTTTTTTCCCCCCCCTTTCCCCCCCAAAAAAAACCCCCCCCCCCCAAAAATTTTTTTTTTTTTTCCCGGTTTTGGGTTTTTTTTCATTGGGGGGAAAAACCTTTTCGGTTTAAACCCCCACCCCCCAGATAACGTGAGGTGGCCGCGCAATTTTCCCCCCGGGGCCAAATTTTTCCCCCGGCCCCCCCTGTCCAAAGGGGCATTCTTTCCCTTAAGGGGTTTTGATCCCCTGTTTATCTTTTCATCTCCCCCGCCCCCTCCTGTCAGGGTAGTGTGTGTATTGATAATGGCCATTAGCATATTTATGATCATTGCCAGCCTCTTATTGTTTGTGTGGAACATTAATCTTCATCTGATGCCTAGCGACTGACAGCTCAATCTAACAGGCCATCACCGGGCACACACACACCCTCATGTTGAGGAGGGGACATTGTCTACTGGAAAACACACGCACACACAGACCTCAACGCAGAGACTTCAACACATTGACAAACCAGACTAGAAGACGGGCATTGTCTTTCTGCAGCAAACACACACATGTGTACAAATACACACACACACACAGGAAGACAAGCATCTTTGTGCTACACACACACACACACAGTGATTGACGTTCACCCCAGTGTGTGTAATCAGGTGAGGTTGTTCTCTCCAGCTGAGACGAGGGCATGCTGGCATCACGGTTGGCGTGCTGATGGTTCCTCTGTACCAGGCTGGGCCCACTGCTCCCCCAATCAGCCTCAAACCAAGCCCACTCTGGGAGACAGCCTGTGAGTGGAGACCACCAGTATGACACCCAGAACACGTCAAGATTCAAGACTAGATAAATATGACCAGTTCTATTCACAGTAAAGATGACAACTCCTATTCTACAATACAGTATTAGATCTGTGTCTCACTGTCTCTCGAAGTCTAAGCCCTCTTTCAGCAGCAGTCCCTGTAGCCTGCTGTAGACTGGGTAGAATTAGTCCTATAAATGTCTCTCCTTGCAGAGCCATAAACATAGAGTTTTATTGAGGCTATCTATAACACGCCACTATCAGACATTGTTGATAGCTTTATTAAAACCTCCCAGAGATGGTTATTTTATGTCACTGGACTAAATCACTTTTACACAAAGTTTGTGTGTGTGTGTGCTTGTGTGTGTGCATGCAGGTGCATATGCATGTGTGTGTGTGTATCTATCACTCCGAAGGCTCTGCAGAGTTAACAGTTACGAGGTACAGTATATGCTAATATATTTCAATACTTTATAGAAGCAGTAAAATCTGAAATCCATAATTTGTTAACGTGTTCCATGTAAAACAGTGCTAAAAGATGTCCCATGAATATCAATGCAGATTTGCTTTGATTAAACAATCTATCATTGCCACACTATAGGCCTACAGTGTGTTCTCTTCTCTGCATTAACCCTTTACACTGAAGATGACATTACTCATCCCATCAAGGGACATTTGGAGGACAGAATTACCAGAACTACCTACATCCTAGACCAGTGGTTCCCAACCTCTTTAGGTTACTGTACCACCAACTGAATGTTGCTCTGCCTGGAGTACCCCTGAAGTACCCCCTAATGTGCATTTTACCAGTAAGCATATGGTCTCATGAGTCTTCTCAAGTACCCCCTGTGGATAGGCCAAATACCCCCAGGGGTCCTAGTACCCCTGGTTGGGAACCACTGTCCTAGACAATAGACAAACTTAGTTGACTTTTCATAAGTGCACATTCCCTCTCTGAGTTGGAGCAATCCTTGTTACTTCTCTCCACTCTGGGTTGGAGGTGAGATGGTGGCGAGATGTATAGGTGTATGTGTTCTCTCGGGGCTCTAGCCCAGCGGTCTGTGACCAGGTGAAGGCTTGTAGTAATGAACTTGTTTGTGATTCGCTCATCATCTCCATTTAGCCCATGATTAACACCCAATCAGAACACATGATTAACACCCAATCAGAACGCATGATTAACATCCAATCAGAGAGCGGGGTTAAAAATACAGAGTTCATCTTTAATGTTATAATAACGAGGGTACATGCTCTCAAACTGCCAACAAAACAGATTTACACAAATAAACACACACACACACCTATACATCTCACCTCTGCTTCCCCCTCCCCCCACCACACAGTCACAGCCACACATATGCATCTATAAAAACCCAGCACACATACGCACACAGACACCTATACATCTTTCAACCTCCGCCCCGATCTCTCCTGGTGTCTGTGTGTGTGGAATTAGAGCCTATTTAAAACCAACCCTGCGGTCTCATTAATTAATTAAGCCTGGGTGCAGGTAGCTCCTGGGCTGTGGTTATCACTGGAGCTCAGGACACACCGTGTCTCAATAACAGAATTACACTACCCCACCACAGGGCTCAGAGGAGGAGGGAGGGAGGTGGGAAGGGAGGAGGAGGGACTGACTGACTTGACGGCTTTGAGGGGCAGACACAGACAAAGTCAGACAGACAGACAGTCAGACAGAGAGACAGACAGTATCCTGCTTTAAATCACTGTGTTTATGAGCTGCTGATAGCCCAGGTGGAGGATGGAGGATCCGTTCACCACACTTCGTCTCCCACCCCCTCATCCCACCCTCTCCTCTCCCCGTGGCTCCAGTGTGTGTGTTCTCTCCCCGTGGCTCCAGTGTGTGTTCTCTCCCTGGTGGTTCCAGTGTGGTGTTCTCTCCCTGTGGCTCCAGTGTGTGTGTTCTCTCCCTGGTGCTCCAGTGTGTGTGTTCTCTCCCTGGTGGTTCCAGTGTGTGTGTTCTCTCCCTGGTGGCTCCAGTGTGTGTGTTCTCTCCCTGGTGGCTCCAGTGTGTGTGTTCTCTCCCTGGTGGCTCCAGTGTGTGTGTTCTCTCCCTGGTGGCTCCAGTGTGTGTTCTCTCCCTGGTGGCTCCAGTGTGTGTGTTCTCTCCCCGTGGCTCCAGTGTGTGTGTTCTCTCCCTGGTGGCTCCAGTGTGTGTTCTCTCCCTGGTGGCTCCAGTGTGTGTTCTCTCCCTGGTGGCTCCAGTGTGTGTGTTCTCTCCCTGGTGGTTCCAGTGTGTGTTATCTCCCTGGTGGCTCCAGTGTGTGTTCTCTCCCTGGTGGCTCCAGTGTGTGTGTTCTCTCCCTGGTGGCTCCAGTGTGTGTGTTCTCTCCCTGGTGGCTCCAGTGTGTGTTCTCCCGTGGCCCAGTGTTTTTCTCCTGGTGCTCAGTGTGGTTCTCTCCCCGTGGCTCCAGTGTATGTGTTCTCTCCCTGGTGGTTCCAGTGTGTGTGTTCTCTCCCTGTGGTTCCAGTGTGTGTTCATCTCCCGTGGTCCAGTGTGTGTGTTCTCCTGGTGGTCCAGTGTGTGGTTCTCCTGTTCAGTGTGTTTCTTCCCTGGTGGTTCCAGTGGTGGTTCTCTCCCTGGGGTTCCAGGGTGTGTCTCTCCTGTGGTTCAGGGGATCCATGGGTCCAGTGTGGTTTCTCTCCCTGGTGGGTTCCATATGGCCTCTTGTCCGCCCCTCCTAGCAGGGTCTCTAAATCACCGTGGTAACAGCCCTCCTCATCTCCTGCTAATTCCTCTGCTCACTGAAACATTGACTGAACACACACACTCGCGTTCACAAACACACCCCTCTCTGTGGCATTGCATTTGCAGTGGGTAGATGACAGTTGGATTTGGAGTGTGTTGGATACCTGGCCTGATACACAACAGTCTGGGACAAAAGAGAAAAAGAAAGAACTTGACAACAAAACAAGAAGAGTTGGTAAACTAGCTATGTGTCCTCTGACTGTTTTATTGAGACTTGAGGAATGTCAATAAGAGCTCTTCTAGAGGCCAGTAACAACAGACTGACCAGCAGACAGCATGACCTTCTATACAGCACACACACTCCTAATAACCAACACACAGCAACATCTCCTAATAACCAACACACAGCAACATCTCCTAATAACCCAGAGACAGACAGCAACAGCAATGTACAGGCCAAACATTCCCTCATTGTGAAAAGTAACTAAGGTCTGAGAGGACAGAGGTAGTGGCAAACATCCTGCTTATCGATCTGTGGCTGCCAACTGGCTAATGGCGCTCGGTGGCATGCGCAAACACACATAGTAGCATGAGTATAACACTACAGATCCATCCTAGTGGTTGTGTAGCTCTTGTTCATTAAGCCCTTGGTCACCCCACACACACACACACACTTCTGGAACTGAGGGCCGGTGCTGGTATTGTTCCGACAAGCCCCGGGGCAGTATGGGTAAACTCGTTACTCTTTCGTTAATTGGAGCCGAGATTCCATCCCTCCATTCCCTCAGCAACCTCTCCTGGGGGAACAATGACTAATTGTCTAGAGTCCTCGCACCTCTACATTACCCCCCCTCCCCCGTCTCTGTCCTCCAGTAACCTATTTTATCCCTACATACCTAGCCCATCCACCTCTGCCTGGCTCGAGCTGCAGTAGGATGAAGTTGCACCAATGAGATGCTGATCTCTGGTCAGTTTCCCATTCTTTGGTTCGGATTTAAGCTAGGATTGAGAGAAGGTAAACTGATCCTAGATGTGTTTATGGGCGACTTCTACAGAAAGCTGCTCCGCTACCACACTCCACCCCTAGCCCAACACGCTACAACCCCAGCCCATCCCTCGGTCTCTGCCTCAGCAGAGGTGTCACTGGGTCAGCCTGAGGATGTACCCGTGCAGCTGGTCTGAGAAGGCCTCCAGGGAGAACTTCTCCTGAACCCGCCTCCTGCCAGCCTGGCCCATGTCTCTGCGGAGCTGGGGGTCTCTGAACAGCTTCTCCATGGCCAGGGAGAAGGCCTCGGCCGTGGGCTCACACAGGAAGCCCGTCTTCCCCGTCACCTACACTCTCCAGAGGCCCTCCAGACCTCACAGCAATGACGGGACAGCAGCAGTACATGGCCTCCACTGGCACTATCCCAAAGTGCTCTCTGCTGGGCGTGTAGAGAACGCCCTGCGCTGCCCCGCAACAGCGCCACCTTCTGGCTGTCTGAAGGAGAGCGCAGGAAGGTGACAGAGTCCTCTACTCCCAGCCGTGCCGCTAGCTCCTTCAGCTCAGCGTAGTGCTGGACGTTCTCAGCGACGCGGCTGTCATACCCCCCTGCCACCACCAGGTGGAGTCCTGCCTGGTCCCCCGGGGCGAGGTGGGCCCTCAGGGAAGAGAGGCTCTCCAGGGCCAGACCCAGGCTCTTCTTCCTCTCATAGCGGTTCAGGGACAGGAAAAGGCAGGACACGCCCTCAGGGACCAAGCCCCCCAGACCCTGCTCCATCTGCTCCTTAGGGGGCTGGTCAAAGCTGTGTGTGTTGAGGGAGGGGTAGAGGACGTCAGTCTGGACCCCATCCAGGGTACGGAAGGTCTCCCTGAAGACCCCTGCGGTGAAACAACTGTTCACCAGAACCTGGGACAAGAAACAAGAAGGATCAGTCAGTGATATCTCATCAACAAGGGCAGAGGAGGGAGATCGATTGAGAAAATCAAAACTAGCGCCCAATGAAATGAATGAAACTGTTGGTATTTTGGACTCTTAAGATCTAATCCTGCTTTCTCTGGTTCTATCCTCTCACCATATCAGCCATGCCAGTGGTGAGTTCCTCCAGTCTGTCTATGGGGGCACGGTAGAGCTTTTTCAGAGCTGAGCCTCTCTGGGTCAGGAGCTGGTCTGGGAAATGACAGTAGAACAGAACCTTTTTCCTCTGACGAGACAACCTCAGGACCGGGATACACACCGACACCTGTAGGAGGAGAGAGAATAGAGTTATATCTACTAGAATCACAACTACAGAAAAAGTGAAGGCAAAAAAGAGTAGTCTGAAGGTGAGAGTCAAAATCAAAAGGTAATGGACTGAGTTATGCTGAAGTGAAAGGAAAAGAATAGAGAAACAAAATAGATGGTGTGTCACCAACCTGATCACAGAAGACCACGTCGTACTCTACTCCACTGAGGAAGACCAGGTAGAGAGCTACGTAGATCATCCTGAGGTAGGCACACAGGGCATGAAGGTACCCAAACACACTGGTGGGCAACCAGTCACCCACACAAACCTGGAGATGACAAACAGGGTCAGATAGGAATGCAGTGTTTGTGTTATAACACTGTTATTAGATTACACTGTTACAGACACCCACCACGTTCAGGTCTGGGTCCAGTGTCTCTGAGAAGCAGTGTGTGGGGTCATGGTGGGCCGTCCAGATCTGAACACTGCAGCCGCGAGAGCGTAGAGCTACAGCTGCATCCACCACCAGCCTCTCTGCACCACCTATACCCAGGTCTGGGTGGAGAAACACCACCCCCACCATCCTGGAGGAGACAGATAACATGCTTAAAGAACCCTGATGACACTGACAGGTTGACAGGTGCGTCATCAACATGGGGCTTCTTCAGAAGGGGCAGACAGTACTAATACATTCAATACAACGTTACAGAATGGAGGACATTATTGACATGGCAGAGAGGTGGATTATTTAGTCTACAATGCCACAACCCATAGAACGTTGTCCCATTGAATTGGCTAAGCGCCAACATCAGCTGACTGTCATGTTGTTGAAACAGATAATAGCTATTTCTAGCCGACAGCTACACTAAACACAGTGAACATAGAACTTATATCAACCTGAGAGTAGCTAGTATCACAGAGACCAGCTAGTATGCATTAGTTACTAATTCAGTGTGGACGTTGTCTGTCATAACTGTACCTTTCGCTCCTTGATAATGCAGTCTGTCCAACTTGCGTGTCCAGGAAACAGTGGTCAACTTGCTAACGCTTATATGGCACTGTGCCTGTTAATCGACATGATGGCTCAAATGTTCAATTTATTTCCAACGGCAAATCCCCCTTGTGTTGAACCAAAATGGCGTCAGATGCCACCCTCTGCAGCACGTCGCTTCCTGTGAGACACGTCACCTCTCTCGGCACACACACTTTTTATTTGCCTTTCGTTCAAACTCTAAAATTACATTAAACAAATTAGGAATTACAGTTTATTATTTTAAATAAATACTTTTGACCTTGATATTATATATTAATCTATAATTTGTAATAAATTGAATCCGTTAGATAAAAATGTAAATTATGAACTATCTTGGTTCAGGCTTGACATAGGGCAACTAAAATGGTCCTTTATTCTGTAGTCGTGTCCTTTTTAGACAAGCGTCATCTTTCGGTGATCCCTTCTGAAGTTGTGGCGATTTGTGTACTGAACTGCTGCCCATTTGACGTGGACTTCAGTTAGAAGAAGATTTTAAAGTTTTCTTCTCCAGCTGAAGTCCCAAGTACAACTTAAAATGGTAAGAATTCTGTTGGTATTTTTGTCAAATAATGTATACTGTTGCACACCTCTAACTTGGCTTTAGCCAACTAGATAGCTAGGCAGCTAACGCTCATTCAATTTAGCTAGGCATAAGAGACATTCAATTAGCCTCTCTTAGCTAACTAACCTAGTACAATTGCAGGCATGATATTATAGTTAAGTCTTATATTAGTCTTATTTTACATTGCTATTTTATATTGTAATCATTCTTTACCGGCGAGGTGACTGTCAGGTTTAGAAACCATTTAAGGTAGCCAGCTAGCTAAAGTCAGGTTAGTTAGCATGATGATCCATTATCTATTTGTAGACTTGACTATTTTTCGAATCAGCGAATCTTTATTCTGTTATGTGTAAGACAAACAGTCATTGCAATGATATGATCATTTAGAAATGTCATTTCTGACTCGCTATTCCTGGCGCTTTAGGGTAGTCAGTCATCGCTGGTAAAGAGGGCCTCTAGTAGTAGCTAGAGTGATCTCCAATATATTTTGAGGAAGTTAGTTGATTGAGTGATTATCATTTCAGAGAACACCACATCCAATGTGGGTCAGATGATCCAATGGTTAGTTTTCTGTTTTCTAATGTAATCTTAGTATTTTGTGTGTGTGTGTTTAACTGTGTCCTCTCTTACTCAGCCTGGACCAGCATCAAGTGCAACTAATGTCGGTGCAGGGAGCCGATCCCCCAGCAAGACAGTGGCCCCCCGCGCAGCAGGATCCACAGTCCGACAGAGGTAATCATTTAATAATAGAGTGTTTCATAACAATCTCAAATCGCTTCAAAAGCAAAAAACACACAAACAATACATCATGGTACACACACGCACTTTGTTCCCTGGCAGCAAGAGCTACAGTCTAACAAAGGGAGACGCACACAAAACCCCACCCAACACAGCAGGATTTACAACAAACAAACACAAATAAGACTCCGGTCAGACTCAAGACATTACATACTGGTACCCTTAACCACCCTCAAGCATCAACATTACCGCTTAGCTCCAACCTATAACACATGAGTGCATTACTCAAATAAACTACAGATTAGCTAGACTAGAGGATGTGAAATTATGATTTGGGATTCCTCCCCTTCCCTGTCTCTCTGACATAATACTGTAGGGAGAGTGATGGTGTTTAGATACCACTAGATAGATGTTGGCGCTTTAGGCTTAATCAGTATGTAATCAGCCTCGCTGTCATCAACATCATTACATCAACATTACCCATTACTACCTTCTCCCTCATTCACTCATTACCTCATTTAGCCCTGTTTAATCTCAGCTGATGAGTACAGCAGTTATGAATCACTACATCAGGACATTAACTACTGGAGCTAGTCTGAATGAAAACTGCCGTGGTAGAGAGAGTTAGGTACTGTAGTGTGTTCTACCTCCAACAGCAGTGTTTTTCAAAATGCAGACCATCAAAAAATCTGCATTTTTAAACCATTTCACCTGTTTCATATTGAAAGTCAAGTTTTTTTCTTCTTCAATAGAGTGATAAGGGGCATGCAACTATAGTTTTTCTTCACACAAAATACATTAGTGCAACACATCCGGCAGAGAATTGTTTTAATCAGATGTCAACAGAAGTGCAACGCTATTAGGCTGGAAGCCACACAAGTAAATTAGCTTACAATGAAAAAGCAAGGTATTTTTTGCAAAACCGATGCATGGCCATCATATTTTTTATGTTTATCATAGAAAGAATGTAGGCAGCTACATTTCCTAATGTTTTGCGTGAAGTTAATCTTGCATTTTAACTTGCTACTGAAGGAAAACTACAGAGAAAAGTATCCTACACATCAGTCAGAGCGCTGTCTGGTGATCCAACGACGAGAGCAAATATATTGTCAGAATGGAGAAGTGCAACTGAAGCACGAAGTTGGTCCTTTTACATTCATGATTTGGAGCGAACCCTGACTGAAGCGTAGCAGAATTAACAATAAGCATTTAAGATCTGCGTTTACAAAATGCAGCAAGATTTTTTTTCGGTGTTTTTATATTTTATATTCTGCAGGAAAAAACACTGGACAGTGTCTGCGTGATTTTATGTCATTTCACACAGTGACGTTATCTTTGAAGTTATGGGTTCAGATATGGCTTAGAACCGCACAGTCACTGCAGAGGCAGAATTTCCCAGAGCCTCGGTGTTATGAAATCTAACCATCTGAGACTCAAGCAAAATATAATATAATATGCCATTTAGCAGACGCTTTTATCCAAAGCGACTTACAGTCATGCGTGCATACATTTTTTGTATGGGTGGTCCCGGGGATCGAACCCACTACCTTGGCGTTACAAGCGCCGTGCTCTACCAGCTGAGCTACAGAGGACCACAAAAAACAGGAGTAAAAGCAGGTTAATGTTTTCATTGTGCAGGCAACTCTGTAAAGGTGTGACAACTTCTATAGGGGGCCTACAGGTCATATTAATGTCTCTTGTAACTAGCTTGTTGTCTCTTGTATTGATGTTATAGCTCACGTGTTGTCTCGTTGTGTGATGTCACAGGAAAGCAACGAGCAGCGGAACGCGCAGTGCAGGCAGGAGCACAGCGTCAGCGGGCGGCACAGGGGGCATGTGGCGCTTCTACACTGAGGACTCACCGGGACTCAAAGTGTGAGTGTATACGCACGCAAACACACGACCATACCCACACGTCCATACCCACACTCGACCATACATTCTCACTAGCATTCCTTCAAATGCACACACATACATCCATATAACGTTATATATACACACACACACACACACACAGAGTAGGTATTGTCAGTGTTTATGAGGAAGAGCATGAATGTTTAATGGCAGTAAATGAGACTTGGGGGACTGAGGCTAAATGCTGATCAGACCCCAGGGTGTGTTTGTTCCTGGAACCCCGTCCCCCGTCTAACAGACACCCAGTCAGTTCAGCTCCATACTGTTCCTAAACACTGGTGAACACTCCAGCTTTCTGACAGTCTGACCGCTTTCTGACCACTGTTCTATGACTTCTGGTCACGGTTATAGACTGACCACGGGTTAGAGGTCTTCTCTACTCCACACAGTTCGTTGGCCAGCTGTAGTTACTGAGGGTGTTGCTCCTGTAGTCAAGGACAGACGGTTGTATGGTACGGTGGTGTGTATCGAGCGTGTGTATATCGAGTATGTCTCAGAGCTTCATTAAGATCCGCTCAGAAAGGTCAAGTCAATTACAGCCTTCAGAGAGGAGGAGGAGGGGGGTGGGGTTGGTATGGTAACGCTCTCTTCCCCCCCCACCCTTCCACTTCAGGGACGGAGCCTCTCTTCTCATCAAATCCTCATCAATGAATGCAGAAACACCACTCATAGGACCACAGATCTACTGGCTCCCAGGCAGTGTTTCCCCTAGAATTGATCTTAGGTGGGGTGCAGAGGCACCCACATCTGCCAGAATGGAGATTTTCAATGAAGGCAACAGTTGAGGGCATGGGGTATCAGTGCTAGACAGTTAGGAGAGGCCTGCCCCACCTCAGTAATGCTAGGAGAAACACTGGTCCCAGTTCAATGGTAATAAGGCTGGTTAGAGCTCAAAGGAGCTCCATATAAACCACCTGTCTGACAGACCGACCACAGTCAAACTACTACAACACCAGGGTTTCTGTTAGCCGGTAATAGACGACTTTTGGCTTCATTTTTTTGTTAAGCTGATAAATAAAATTGGCACCGGCCAATTGTCCAGGAGAAGAGAAAATCCCATTGCAAATAATGCCTTTTAGCCTATTAATTGATGGAAAACCAGTCGATGGAAATACATTTGACTCGTCATACTTATCGGTCTATAGGTTAATTTGCATAATTTAGTGGAATTAAATTGGCGTGTGTGTACATTTATATTAATTATGTATCTTTATCACATGCATAGGCTTACAGTATACAGACAGCCTTTGAGCTGAAAATCTGTCGTAGTAAATGCATCCGCAACGGAAGACAGGCTTCATCAGCATGTCACACACCACTTTACAATGAGCTGGAGGCAGTATGCATTTTGAAAAAATTTACTTAATTGTTTGAAACCTGAACGTTTTACAATATGTTATAAGGCATGTTTTACCTTGCTTCAAAGTAGCCTAGCCAAAATCAGACCATATCCGTGGAGGCAATTATTTTATATCAACTTTCTTTCATTGTCCAGTAGCCAAAGGCACAATGCTAGTCATATTAGCAACCCATGCTAGTTGTTGCATTTTAGCTCTCTCCTCTTTCAACATTTCTAACGGATATTTTAATCTCTGTCACATGAAACCTCTCGCATGTGCGGTGTGCTTTTGACAACAGTGTTTTCATGCTAATTGCATTATGGAACGAACATTCGCTTGTAGCCTACTGCCTTGTGTGCATTGCTGCGCTGTAGCCTAGGCCTACTGGTTGGATGAATTTGGGATCTATCGTCCCATAACTGTCCCAGAGTCTGTTGGAATAGGCCATTTCTTTTTCAACAAGCTGACCAATAGAATGGGTAAACTAAT